ACCAAAATCATTTTCTTGTAGAATACTGATGTTCCCAACTTCTTCTCTCATGGTTATTTCTTCCACTCTACTCTGGTTCAGGCTGAACTGCTGGGCCACATCGATGTCACTTTAAAAGAATTTCAAATACATTTTAGTTTCAAGTCTCACTGCAATGTATAAGGAAAAAAATATCCTAATTCTCTCTACAAGGAAAAAATATACATACGAAAGTCACCATGGTTTATAAGCCTTAATATTTGACAACACAATTTAAGAGTCTGAACAATGATTTGGAATTTAATTTGTATTTAGATTTAAAAACCATCAATGACCAGCAAGCAAAACAGAATATGCTGGAATCACTACCTAGGTAATATACAGAGGAAAAACTTGAAAATGAACGGTCTAGGTAGGTATGGGTTTTCATAAGGGTCATGGTATGAACTCTGAAGTTACCCAGCTTTTCTGAGACTGTTTCTTCCTCTAACAAATTAATCTCTCATATTGTTTAAAAACATTAAATAAAAGACATGTAATATTAAGCAACAATGTAGAATTATCACCGGCCAAATTCAGAATGTGAATACTTCAAAACAAATGACCAGGTTTATTCAGGAAACAAATGGCAAGTAAAAGCATGAAAGGCTTCTGAGACATATCAACCAAATGCAGTCTGGAGAATTTGTAGAGACCCTAACTTAAACAAACTGAAGAAAAAAAGGCCTATGTGTCAACTGGGGACATTTGAATGCTGACTGAATATTGCATTAAGAAATTATTGTAACTTATTTTAAAGGTGGGATGTTATTATGGATAGATTCAGAAAATTCCTTACCTCAAAAGAGATACTGAGTATTTACAGAGGAAGTAAGAGATCTGTTCTGAAAATAATCCAATGGGGGTTGGAAGGTGAGTTGGGGAAATACGTATGAAATAAAACTGGCAACGTATTCATAATTGAAGAAACCAGTTGATCAGTACATGGGGTTCCTAATACTAATCCTTCAACTTTTTAGCGGTTAAATTTCCATGATGAAAACTTTTTAAAAATACATCAGGAGAGGAAAAAATAAAGGAAAGCAGCTAGATAGCATCTACATTAACACACATACATATCAAAATAAATCATAAATAGGAGTCATAGATCATTTTAAGAAGCAGAGAAATTTGTCTCAAAAAATGGGGCTTGGTGTAGAGGGTTTCTTGGTTGTCAATTGTGCTACTAAATCACCCAGGAAGTTACAGGCACATTCCCTGTCATGGTAAAGACAGCTCAATTTTGAAGACTTGAGAAAAGGGAAACATAGTATTCTGCTATAGCCATCTCTATACAACTTCCCCCTCTTACTAAACGTGTATTACGACAACGACTTTTTCTTGCTCTTTAAAGAGTTATCTCATATGTTTATTAAAACACAAAAAAACAAAAACAGAAATTGTGGCTGAGTATAGCCTGGAAAGATGATAACCAGCAGATGACGTTAATACATACCTCCAAAGAAAAATCATGAAGCAATAGTTCATGGTCACTGATACCATTACGTAAAGCATACACCTGGAAAACCGTTTCGTTTACATAAGCTTTGGCCTAAGCACATCAGAATTCTCCTATCTTAGCTTTGTTAAAGTTGGTATCTATACAACTTTCTTATAGAAGAAACAATTCTCGGTTATATGTTTCATATTTATACACTATCCTATTGGGTAAATTGAAAGCCATATGCATTTTAACCTCACATTAACTTGATGACAAAGTATTCCAAGGAAAACTATATGTTTGGTGCCCGTAACGTTATTTGTAGACCAAGTCAACAATTAAAAGAGGGACATACTCTAAGTCAGGCAGTGGCTGATCAAAGTCATGAAATTCTTCAGGTAAGGTAATAGCATTGTAAGCAGCTTCTCGATTTTCCTCAGGCAGGTCAACAACACCTGGAAAAGAAATTGTAAGCTTGAAAGCCTAACAGTTATACCACAGATTATCTAGAGATCAAAGGAAGGTAAAGTCAGTTTAATTTCTCAAGGTTATAGTCTAGAAAGATTGATAATGTATGCAAAGTACCACGGAAGTACAAGTACTTTTGTTTTTTTCTATAATCATAAGCCAAACTATTTGCTTTCCAAAAACAAAGTCAAAGCACTACCTATGCATTAAGGTGATGTCTTTAAAAGGACATAACAAATAAATATTAGTAAGAGTTTTCTCAATAAACATGAAATTTGTAAGAGAAACAACAGCAAAGGAGCACCCTAAATGTTAAAAGAGGAGTTGGTTATTTTAGAGTAAGTGGGATTACACTTTTAATTTCTCTATATTTTTCAAGTGGTCTCTACTAAAAATGCATTGCTTTAAAAGACAAAAATAAACAAAAAGCATGGCTATTTAAGCAAAATGAAATTAGTATCCACATGTTAGAAATCATTCAAGTATCACAGCCTCTGCCTAAACATTTTTGGTTTTTAAGTTTTTATTTAAATTCCAGTTAGTTAATAGTAATATTAGTTTTAGGAGTAGAATTTAGTGATTCATCACTTACATATAACACTTATATCTAACAAGTGCCCACTTTAATACCCATCACCCATTTAGCCTACTGCCCCCGCCCCCACCTCCCATCTAGCAAACCTCAGTTTGTTCTCTATAGTTAAGAGTCTCTTACGGTTTGCCTCCCTCTTTTTTTTTTTTCCCTTTCCCCTCTGTTCATCTGTTTCGTTTCTAAGATTCCATGTATGAGTGACATCATGTGGTATTTTCCTTTCTCTGACTTATTTCACTTAGCATAAGCTAGCTAACACTCTAGCTCCATCCATGTCACTGCAAATGGCAAGATTTCATTTTTTGATGGCTGAATAATACTTCATTGTGTGTATACACACACACACACACACACACACACACACCCAAATCTTCTTTATCCATTCATCAATGTACATTTGGGCTCTTTCCATAATTTGGCTATTATAGATAATGCTGCTATAAACACTGGGGTGCATGTACACCTTTGAATTAATGTTTTTGTATCCTTTGGGTAAATTCCTAGTAGTGCAATTGCTGGATCATAAGGCAGTTCTATTTTTAATTTTTTGAGGAACCTCCATACTGTTCTCCAGAGTTGGGGCAACCAGTTTGCATTCCCACCAACAGTGTAAGAGGGTTCCCCTTTCTCCACATCCTCGCCAACATCTGTTGTTTCCTGTGTTGTTAATTTTAGCCATTCTGACAGGTGTGAAGTGGTATCTCATTATAGTTTTGATTTGTGTTTCCCTGTTGAGTGACACTGACCACCTTTTCATGTGTCTGTTAGCCATCTGTATAAACAAGCTTTAAATAAAATCTTAGATCTCAAAAATTTCACTGTTCATATATTAAAATAAAGTACTAAAATATAACTTCAGCAGAAACTACTGTATAAGGCATCTTTCCTATACACTGATTATTTTAATTACAATAAAGTATCATCAGTGCTCTAAAAAATTATGAAGTGATACATGAACTCAGATAAATACCATAGTTATTATCTACGGAAATTTGGTTCCTAGAGCCCAGCTTTAGAATCAACCATTACCTAAGATAAAACAACAAAAAACTATAGAGAACATTTAATAGGAGTCTCAAGTTAAAAGTAAATTTTAAGAATATGCTATTCAGAAAAAAATTTTAAATCCTAAGATTTTCTTTTCTAAGCTACACATTTTAAAAAAATCATGTAACAGTTTTCAACATTTCAACTCTCAGTTCTACAAAAGCTGATGAAAAGGGGTTAAAAAAAAAGGAGTGATTGTCATAATTCCAAACGCTTAACAGACATGGGTTTCTCCCCTTGAACCATGCCTCTCCAAACCTTGCCCGATTTTTGAAGGGTTCCTTGTACTACAATTAAAATGAACGGATCTAGAATGTAGGTTTTGCAGTTTTTCACACTACATAAAACTCCAAGGTTTAAAAGAAAAAAAAAAAGTCAACAATACCTGGCCGAAAAGCCATCTTTATCTTAATGAATGCTTCATTACAGTCTGCAAGCAGGTATTTGGCTTTTCTATGATAGATTCGAACTACTCCCAGTAAGAGATGTCCTGATGTTCGGAGTGCCATCTTCACCTAAGAGTGAAACATTAATATTAACTTAATTTATAAAGTTAATTTTTTGGTTTTAGAGGTAATCATACTTCAAAAGCTTGTATTCTGTGCAATTATAGGCAGCTTTTTATCTCTATATACTCTTGATCATTTATCTGAAGTTTCCTTATAATCACTTATATTTATGCCTTTACTTGTAAATCCTGAGTATCCACAAAGAATAGACTGATAGTAATTCATCAGTTAACACAGATATGAAGGTAGCTATGAAGCAGGTAGTAAGGCACTCCATAGATTGCTGTCATAAGGACATTAAGGAATATGGAGCACTTTTGGTTGCCAATCCAGAGCTGCTGTTCCTTGCTGGCTAACTGAACTCTGATTTGTTTGGGAAGTGAATGTCCCTATCCTTGAAGAACTCACTCATTCTTCTTTACTAATGCTTCGTGAGTGGGCACAAAACCCAATTCAACCAACAAGAAAGAAGAGCGAAGTAGGTTAGTTTCTGAGAAAGATTTTCCCAATAAAAGAAGAACGCCTGCCTCTTTCTTCTCCCCTCCTGTGTTGTGAGCAGGTGGGGTTTGGATCTGCTTATAGTCACAAGGCCGTAAGTATAAGGACAAGAAACCAACATAAGACTGGTGAGTCCTGGAGCCCCTGGGTGGCTCAGTCAGTTGGGCATCCAACTCTTGGTTTCGGCTCAGGTCATGATCTCAGGGTTGTGGGATTGAGCCCTGCATAGGGCTCCATGCTCAGTGCGGAGTCTGCTTGGGACTCTCTCTCCCTCTTCCTCTGCCCCACCCCCCTCTAAAAATAAATAAATCTTTAAAAAGAAAAAAAATTGGTGAGTCCTTAGATGAATGACATCATTGAACTGCTCAACTAATCCTAAATCTTCCTGTTTCTAAACTCCTAGTTAAGTAAGACTGTTAACTTCCTTATTGTTTAGGCCGTTTTTCACTCAGTTTTATCAGTAGACTGGAAGGCAAACTAATGATAAAGGGTAGTGGTAACCCATCTTTTTTCACAAGAAAATATACTCCTCCTGTTTTTTTCAAGGTAGATCTCAATCAACATTTATGTGGGATCCACTGTGTGGGACGAGATGTAGTAGTTGGGAAAAGAAAGAAAAACCCAATCTAAATAGAATGATTCAAAATTCCTCTGGCTATAATATGGAAAATTTTTTGAGAACAAGACAACAGAATTCAAACTTTCCCAGACTATTTTCCAAATCAGACCATAAAAGTCCTCATATTCTAAAGTAGAGAATAAAGTTGTTAATCATTTACTTAAGTTATGATTGATACATTACGTTACTTATAAAATGAAACACTGTATTTTTAAGTTATATGTGTACTGTCTACAGCAGCCTAGGATTCTACTTGTAATGACTCTTAGGCTCTACATTTATGGCAAATTCACATGACTTACAGCATAAATTATGAAATTTACTGCTATATAAATTCTGAGGTATCTAAAATTATAAATTTGTGGGTGCCTGGGTGGCTCAGTTGGTTGAGCGACTGCATTCGGCTCAGGTCATGATCCTGGAGTCCCAGGATCGAGTCCTGCGTTGGGCTCCCTGCTTGGCAGGGAGTCTGCTTCTCCCTCTGACCCTCCCCCCTCTCATGTGCTCTTTCTCTCTCTCTCAAATAATCTTTAAAAAAAAAAAATTATAAACTTGTGATCAAATCTGGGATTTATCATATGAAAAATCCTTGATATGAAAAGTAGTACCCAATTAAAACATTGCAACTAATGGAAAAAAAGAGAATCTTTTATGATGTGGTCTCAGGAAATTTAAAATACTGACTGCACCTTAAGAAAGGAGGAAGGGTTTAAAACCCTTTGCGCGCCATTATCTTGTAAAGGATTAGCAACTTTGAAAGAAGGTGGTGTTTGGGCAAAACCTTTTTTTGTGTATTAGTATGGTTCAGAGTTTAACATAGGAGTAGGTAAAATGAAGTATGCCATTTTTGTTGAGCTAGCTCATGTAAATATAATAAGGAAAACAGGCTATATATCCAGAGAAAGCTCTGTAGAGGTTACCGCTGGCTGTTCCAATGGAGGGGTGGGGGTAGGAGGGGCAGAAGGCAACACAGCTGCAACTGAGCTATACGTCTGACACCTGTTGGAACAACTAAACCAACGTTCACCCGTAACAAGAACTGCACACCAAGAGCAAACATTAGAAATTTTCAGGTCAGTTCCCTCTGGAAATATCTTTATATTCTATCAAAATAAAACAAGATCAAATAACCCACTTAGAAATGGTTTTTAAAATAAGTTATTCTTTCTCTTGCACACAGTCCAGTGTTTTACAGTATTCCTGAACCATGTGCCTTGCTTTGTGGGTATTGGTACATACCTTCATTATCATCAGATTGTCTTGTACTCTTTCGTAGCCTCCCTAACAGGGTACAAAGTACTCTGCACATACTATGAAAAAATTTGTTATCCTTTTAAGCCAAATCACCCTCAATATTTGTTTATAGGTCTTAAAGATTAGTCACACATATTAATTTCAAGAAAGCTGCTCAACTTCTCCTTTTTCCATTCACTTACCTCAGAAGCATACCTATAAAAAGTAGAAAACATCATATTTTCATACAATCTGACCAGCAGTGCAAACTGGTACTATCTCCCCATGGAGCAAACTATGGATCCATATTCAGAAATCTTTAAGTGTATCACCTGGCCCATCAATTATATTCCTAAACATCAACGTTAAGGAAAAACTTACAGATGTGAACAAAAGATCACTGAACATGAAGCTTCTCTATGCAATACTGGTTTTGATATATATATTTTTTTAAAGATTTTATTTATTTGAGAGAGAATGAGAGATAGCACAAGAGGGAAGAGGGTCAGAGGGAGAAGCAAACTCCCTGCTGAGCAGGGAGCCCGATGCAGGACTCGATCCCGGGACTCCAGGATCATGACCTGAGCCGAAAGCAGTCGCTTAACCAACTGAGCCACCCAGGCGCCCCGGTTTTGATATATTCTAACTTCACATAAAAATTAAGTCAAAAAAGAGATGTGAACAAAATATTTTGCAAGCAATGTTTATTCATTGGTTATTTTTTAAAAAGAAAAAATTAACCTGTAGCCTACTACCTAGGGAAATCTTTGTGTATTTTAATACACTGTACAGGGCCAGAGGAATTAAAATTCAAGAAATTAGGAAAAAATATAGATTATTCAAAAAAGAGACTGGTAAAATAAATCATGTACAATCAAAACAATGAATTACAGGTTCATAATCCTTTAGCTTAAATCCTAGGGGCCAAATGTGTTTTGGAATTCAGAGCTTAAGAGATAACTGCATTGTCTTTAAGATAGATCTTTATGATATATATTAAGATATCTTTATGATATATATTAAGACATTCCCAGCAGCATCTATTTAAAGCAGTTTCTAATAATCATTCACCTTAGTGTTTCTATAGTGAATATATGACTACACAAGTGACCTCACTTCAATTTCTGTCAAGTCTGTTCCCGTTTTTTTGTATTTAAATTCTGTGGATAAGAGACTATGACACTGTATAATGCAACATTAAAAATGATGATAAAGCTATGAACAGAGCTTTTCCTGAATGCAGACTGCTTATAAAACATATAATGCAGTTGTATACACATATGATAAGGAGAAAAATTATGTGTAAAAAACATACACACGTTTTAGAAGGCATACCAAAACACTAAAGGTTCTCTAGGTGGTAGGACTAGAGATCACCTATTTCCCTGTTTGTAAAGTTTTTATTTTAATACTGTCTTAGAAAGAACATGATAGAAATATCCTTAATAGCAATAAATTCCACCAACTGTAACTCTAAAACCAGCCAAAATTGGCATAGACAAGATGGAAATTTTATAACTTAGCTCTAATCACAAATACAAACTTTCTTTTTCACCTAAAACATATCCTGTCCCACACGACTTTTCTGAACAAGTCTCTTCTAGATCCCAGCTTTATTCCTTTGAGATCCCCTTACTCTTTCAGCAATAAAGGATTACTCTTTTTAACATCCTATGGCAGCCAGCAGCATCCAAACTGCCAATTCTAAGAGTAGCTCCCAATGCTGGTCCAGACAGCTGTAATCTAGGACAATGGGTGCATGTATGTGTTAATACAAAGTCCAGGAAAGGACCTTTAAAACACATCACTCATATATATATATATATATATGTATGTGTACATATATATATATAAAAACATATTTAAGGACTTTTCCTTTGTGATTAGTCCTTTACATTTTCGAAGTCAATGTATCTGTTTTTCAATGAAGTGCTAATGATGTTAATAAATGTAATATAGATGTAATTTTGTCTGTGTGTTCTAAAGTCCTTTCTTGGCAACACAAAAATCCTGGATTACTTCCAGTTACACTATTTATGAAATTCAAGGCTGAAAACCACTTGCTTCAGAACAGTTTCAGAGGATGTCAATAAAAGCTCTTCTAGGCATAGAGCAGTAAACAAGGCAGATAAGGTAAGGACTTTCATGAGGCTTCCATTCTAGTGGGAGACAGATAGTAATTAAATATTCAGGAGAAGAGCACAGCAACTATCAAAGTTTTGAGACAGGGAAAAAGCTGGATATCTTCAAGAAACAGCAAAAAGCTGGGTATTTTCGAGAAACAGCAAATAGGCCTGTGGAGGTAAGGAGGAACAAGCGTTATGGATGCTATTTTCTAGGTGGATAAGATGATTAGATCTGATCCCTACAACCTTTTCCAATTAATGGATCCTTTTTTGAATATTTTGTAAATTCCCAAATTAGAAACACTTACATACAATTTTAAGTACAAAAACATCTAGGAAGACAAATTATAAAATATCTGGGTACTGCTTGACCTCATACTTATCTACCATGAAAACTGGCAAATGAAAGTATCTGTGCACTTACAGAATTTTTAAAGGGAACAGCATATCAAAATGGAACTATGGATAATCTGCAAATTTTTCTTTGCCTCCAGTATACACAAATGTCAACCTAAAAAGTTGTTTCACAGAATTCTATTTTACATATCAATAATCAATAAAGTGAATAAAAATATCAATATCAAACATACCTTTGGTGAGATGATACTCTCTACACTGCTCTCTAAATTACACTCAAACACATGGGCTTTGGTTAGCTTCTTATCCCAATGGGCCGCTAGCCAAATTTTGGCCAGAGGCCCTCTCTTACTGAGGACAAAGTGTGCGTAGAACATTGTTCCGGCTGATTATGAAACAGGAGGAAACCTGAAAGGGAAAAAAAAGTTAATATAAATACCATACGAAAACAAGGATTTATCAAGACATATAAAAAAATCTGAAAATAAAAGTTTCCAATTCTTTTAAATATGAGAACTATGAAAGGTTTGAGTAAAGTACAATACACCTTAAAAAAACAACCACCTATTGCTTAGTTTTGAGAGGACAAGAAAAAGACCTCAAAATATTAAGAGCTGAAGGGAAAAGGGACAAAAGAGCGAAATCACTTTCATACTCCAAATAAAAGTGCCAGGGTTTTGTTTTGTTTTTTAGTAAAAACTGTCACCAGAAAACTCTTGTTCATTTTGAAATTCCGACGAGTGTTCATTCCATTCCTATCCTGATTACTGACTGTGGAGTCTGACTCTGGCCAAATGCTAGATACTATGTTCTTCATGGCAAGAAAAGTATGTCAAAGAAGGAAAACACTCAGGCACAGATATTAATTAATGTGTAAATTTCCATTTTTCACAACCCCATTAACAATTGATACTCAGCTAGATGCTTTATACAATAACTGCTATCTCATGACAAGCACTGTAATAATAAGCATTTCATATTGTACCAAATAAAAGATAAGCAGGTGGGTTGGCCCCATTTTCCAGGTGAGTAGTTTAGAAAAGCTGAGGCTTAAAAAGTATTACATATATAGCTTCCCCAACTCAGGAACTTGAAAAGCACTTGTCCATAATTTAAATACTATATTCAGGACAATGACACAGTATAACGTTTATCTTATGACTGAAACAGCCTTAGAAACACAAGCGTTATTCACATTTTATTTTTCTTTCAGCAAGCTATGAATAAATACATAAGAAAAAAAAAGGCAGCTTAAAAACTCCAGCTTGCACAGTACATTAACTGTGCATGTTTCCTATATTTCCTGTGTTGTTAGTTCCCTTATATTATTTATTTTCCTTCTTTCACAGAAAATTAAAAAAATCTATTTTGCCAGATGAATTTTTTTCTAAAATGCCCAGGACTAGAAGATATGTCATGTTTTTACAGAAATAAACTCAAGCACACCCGTGGCACATGAAAAGTACTTAAACATTTTTAAAACATTTTTGATCCTGAAATAATTATAGATTCACAGGAGTCCCAGAAATAGTACAGAGAGGTCCCACTTACCCTTTAACCAGTCTCCCCCAATGGTGACACCTTACATACAGTATCAAAACCAGGACAGTGACACTGGTACAATGTGTATGTATATTTGTGTATGTATAATTCTGTGCCATTTTATCACATGTGCAGATCTGCGTAACCACCACTGTGAGGGAATAAAATGCAAAACTAATTCATCAACACAAAGCTCTCCCTCTCCTATCCTTTTAAATTGTCACACCCATTCTTTCCTCTCTACCATTCTTAAGCCCCAGCAACCACCACTCTGTTCTTCATCTCTAATTTTGTCATTTTGAGAATGTTATATAAATGGAATCATACAATATGTGACCTTTTAGATTCAGTCATCTAACACTCTTTGAGATCCACCCAAGTTATTGCATGTATCAACAGTATGCTCCTTTTTATCACAGAGTAGCATTCCATGAGATGGATATACCACTATTTGCTTTGTCAATCACCTACTGAAGGATATTTGGTTGTTTCCAGCTCGAGGCTGTTTCAAATAAAGCTGCTATAAATATCTGTGTATATAGACTTTTAGTGAACAGTTTTCATTTCTCTGGGACAAATGTCCTGACGTATGACTGTTGGGCAGCATGATAAGTGTTATGTTTAGTTTTAAAAGAAACTTCAACATAACGCCTATCAAAATCCTAGTGACTTTTCTTTATAGCCATTCATAAGATTTCTGTAAAATTTATATGGAAAGGCAAAGGAATGAGAATAGCTAAAACTATATTTTTTAAAAAAGAATACAGTGAGATGAATTTGTCTATCCAATTTCAAGATTTACATAGCTACAAAGTCAACATTGTTTGGCAGACAGAAAAACACACAGATCAATGAAACAGGGCAGGGAACCCAGAAATCCACATAAGTTCACCTGATTTTTCACAAAGATGAAGAAACTTGACAAAGGTGAAAGGATAGTCTTTTCAACAAATAATGCTTGGGTGATTGGACATCATCCATGGGGGCGGGGGGGGAAGAACCCTGATCCAAACCTCACACATTATATGAAAAGTAATTTAAAATAAATCACAGACTTAAATGTAAAAGTTTAAAATTTTTAGAAAAAAAACCAGAGGGGAAAAACCTTTGGTATACCTAAAGCTTGGTAAGTGTATTTATTTTTTTGAGAGAGAGAATTAGAGAGAGAGAGACAGCGCGCATGCACTCACACAAGCAGGGGGAGCAGCAGAGGGAGAGGGAGAAGCAGACTCCCCACTGAGTAGGCCCCTGGGATCATGACATGAGCCGAAGGCAGACGCTTAACTGACTGAGCCACCCAGGCGCCCCAGTAAGGGCTTTTAGAAAGGACACCAAAAACATGTCCCATAAAGGAAAAAAACCCAATGAATTGACCTTTATCAAATTAAGAAATTTTGTTCTATGAAAGAGCTGAGAATGTAAAGGTACAATAGGGGAAAAAGTTTGAAAATGACACATCTGACAGGGACCTGGATCCAGAATAAAGAATTCTAGAAACTCAAGTAAAAAAATCTAATTAGAAAATGAACAAAAGAAATTTCACAGAAAAGGACATGCCAACGGCAAATAAGAACAAGAAGAGATGCTCACCATCACCAGTCATTAAGAAAATGCAAATTTAGACCCACGAGAGATCACTGCACATCTATTAAAAGACCTAAAATAAAAAATAATGGCAACACCAAAGTCCAGTGAGGATATACAGAAGCTTCATCTCTTATACACTGCTAGTGGGAATAAAAATTCCTTTTTGAATTAGCTTAAAAAAAAATCCAGAGTAAATAAACTCTAATTTTCATGTTTTTACAAAGAGACTGTAAATTTTAAAACGAGAATTTTGCTTACTGTACTTTGAATTAAAAATTGTGCCCATTCTTTCCAGTGATGTACAGAAAATATATATTAAACATATCACAGGCAAGAGACTTCACGCCTGTCAAAAATGTTTGAAAGGGTGGAGGTGCAAAAGTAATTCAGTTAGGTTTGCCTCCTCTCCATTTTCCATCACTTAATGGGAGAGGGTTCTGAAATTCTCATTTGCTGAACCAGATGCTCCCAGGGGATCATTAATTTACACTAGGAAAACTGTCTCCAAAGGAAAAAAAAAAAAAAAAAGGCTTCATCAATTGCCCAGTGTTGGGAACTCTTTCTCTCAAACGTGCAGTTAAGAAAAGAACTAAGGAATACGAAACTAGGAAGAATTCAGATCAAACACTCTGAGGTAGAAGAATTAAATAATAACACCTCAAGTGTATCTTATGTCTTGCTCAGCAGTTATTTTATAGTTCAAAATATGCTTCCCAGAATCAAAGAACCTATGTTGCAAAGCAGTGCTTTTACTTTAAGCCTAAATGTTTGTTAGCGTGAAAATTAAGCTGCATCTACAGCACTATAAAGTCTACAGGATTTTGTAGAAATTCAATATGGCAGTGTGTTCTTAGAAATACCATCACTGTCATACACAAGAAGTCCCAAGTTTCACTGCAGAAGATAGCTGTGTTCCAATAAAAATCTCCTTAATATTTAGCTCTTAGAATATTGCCTGCAGCATGTCAACTACTAAATACGTGCTTAATGAATAAAGAAATGAGATACACCAAGTGATCTCATAATTGACACACGTAAAAAATTCTGGAGATTTTAGAAATTAAAACTACTGGCCCTTTTCAACAGGTGTCAGGAGCTCATGGCCAGGACTTAAGCTCCTAGTCAGAGTACCATGCCTAAAATATCCCAGCTATGTGGAGGCAGAGATTCCTAAATAGATGTTTTCTTGGCATGGTATGGGGGTAACTAGAGCAGAGTGGTGCTAAAATTATTCTGGGAAACAATTAGCAAGAGGAAATCACCCTAATAACTAAAGAAAGATATTTATTTAGATAAATAAGGAGAAAGTGTAATCATTGCTTTTAAACAATCTTTCTCCTTAGTATTACTGTACTTAACCAATCTTAAAAAATTGATTAATCTCTGTAGATTTTGAATTTCTGTAGATCTATGTTAATCCTTTGCAAAAGATCTTAGCATAAAGCCTGCATTTGGTCCCAGAGCATAGCTTAGCAATTTCATGATTTCTCATTTTTTTTCTAAAGAAGCAAACTTTTTTCAATATATCCTAAAAAGTAATTTCATGTTTTCACAATATGAATTATGATATTTCATTCATCTGTTAGAAAACAGGGCAGGACAATGTTTGTACAAATTGGTATGACCTTCTCAAGGGCAATTTGCCAACATCTTATGAAAATCTCAAACATTCGTACTTTTAAACCAGAAACTGCACTTCCAGTAATAATGCCAAAGATATACATGGAGATGTAAAACATTAGTAACAACAAAAAAATCTTTAAAAAAATCTCACTAAGATCTAAGAATTTTGTGTGTCCATCTTCATGACAGTCGTATAAGTGCTGGCCCATTTTACAGACTGGAAAACAGAGAAAAGGAGAGGACAATGTGCCAAAGGTCACTAGCATTTAATGCAAGTGGAAACTTGAATTTCAGAACCCACACCTCTAACTGCAACACTATGTTGCCCTACCAGCATGACTTTTAACAGCAAAATATTAGAAATGACTTAGCATCTTTTAACAAATACACCCATATAAGAGAATTCCATGAGGCCTTAAACAATGATATACATACATGTATTTAAAAAAAAGGAGGGCGCTCTCTCTATAACATATATTTAATGCACTTACATAAAATATCTGTGGTGTACAAATGAAACTGATGACACTGGTTACCCTTTGGAAAGTGGGTCTGCTGGGAAAGTGAGACCAACCTTTTTGTAGTTTAACTTGGAACATACACAAATATCACGTACTCAAAGTAAATACTATTATATTGGAAGTCAAGACACAATCCTCCTTTGCCATTAACAGGCAAGTTAAGCTGCTTAGTCTGTGTGGTTCATTTTCATAAACTATAAACACCTGGAAGATTGAAATTCAGGGATTTACTAACCTTGGAAAACATCTATACCTAACTCATGGAAGAATGTATCTCTTGGGGGTTGGGGAGTTTCTCAGGAAGAGAAGCTATTTCCAACCCTGCACACTAGAGTTCCCCACCCTTTTGGTACTAACATTCTTTGAACAAGAGATGTACAATCAGAAGGTCCTAGATTCAAATTCTTCTCCCTCCTTAGTTGTTTAGTAAGGGTTAAAAGTTACTTAACATTTGAGTCTTAGCTTTCACATCCATAAAACGAGGATATTTACCAAACAGGATTATGAGAATGAAATAGAACAGCAAACCAACACAATCCCACTGCAGATGTAAATAAACAGTAATTCTGAAGAAAATCTCACAGCAGCGCATATACAGGTCAGCATGATTATGCCTAACAATCTGACATCACATTTAAACAAATAACACAAAACCTGTATTTCTCAAAAATCAGAAATTCCCCTTCCGCACAAAACTGTAAAAGATAAAATTTCTCAGAATATGTGTTCCAATAAATAGAAATTCATCAGGAAAGAAATAATCAACTTTAAGAATACTTTAAACATATGCCACTCTAAGTGGAAAACTTAATTCTAGAGTGTACTAATGTGTTCTTTATAAACAACAAATAAAGTAAATTAGGTTACACTCTACCGACGTAAGTCTAACTTTGTATAAAAAGCACTATGTCCATCAGTTATGCACTGCTGTCACCTCAACCATTTACGAACTGTTAAATAATTTAATCACTGGATATGGTATACATCCTCATCAGTGTCTTTTGAAAAATAATTATGAGATGCCTCCAACATTAAAAAAAAGGACATTTAATGACTCTACAACTTAGGAAAGCTTCTCCAGCCCGTCTCCAAGATTCTGCCGACTCACACAGGTCACTGGCATTTGCATTCATTTTATGAAAATAAGAGTTTTCTGGATTTCAGTGATGATTCTAAACAGCATTGTAAGAGCAAATATTAACTTTCGCTTGCAAAGAGAGCCGATAAACACAAGCCTTTACCAGAAAGCCTTAAAAACACAAGCGCGTTTGTGAACGCTTAAGACGGCCTAACAAATCATAGGGTGGGCAGCGTTTCCTTCTTTCAAATTTGAAGAAGGCCGCTAGGTCTGGCAGCACAAGTAGACAGTGTCACCCCACTCTATCACAGCAGATCAATCGCAAAGCCTTTCCCGGCAAGCAAAAAGACGTCAAGCATTTGTCAGAAACACACACCTTCCCAGAGCGTCTCTACATCAGTATCAAAACACTCAATATCCCTAATCATTAGAAAAGTCGAGGCGGGGGGGGGGAACCAATTATGCTAATTTCCTAAGAATCAGAAGCAACTTCCCTTGGTCGGGTTTTCTATTGGTCTGTCCAGTATGTAATATTCCCAACGTAAAATTTTTCCTTTAAAAAAGGGGAGGGGGAGCAGCAGCAGTCCCTGGAGAGGGGCCCGCCGCAGTGATGCCGTCCCACAGCGCCCGCAAGGGCAAGGCCCGCACGTCTCCGACCCCCGAACCCAAGCTCTGCGAACGGTTGCTGCCCCTTCGAGCTGCCATCGCGGGCGCCGAGCCGCCGCCGCCTCCCGCCCCGCGTCTTCCTAGACAGCCATTTTTACCGGAGTAGGCGGCCCAGTCCCCAGAGCGGGCTCGTTCAAACCTCCGCCTCTCCCTCCGCGGCCCAGGGTTTCCTCTACCTCCTCCGGGAGATGCGGCTCCCGAGGGACTGGCGGAGTAACGGCTTTTTCGGCCTTGGAACGGACCAGAACCATTTGTTACCGAACAAGCGATAATGCGGGCCCAGACTGCGCGGGTCCTGGCCGAGGGCGGGCCCGGGGGAAGAGGCCTGAGCGGGCGGCGCTGCCGTTCCGGAGCTTGGAGGGTGGCAGCACGGCCACCATCCCGGGGCGCGGCGAGCGCTCTTCTCCCTCGCTTCCCCCGCCCCCCCCCCAGAGTCCGGTTCCTAGACTGCAAGACGGCAGGGAAGGGGTAGGCGGAGGGAGCCCGAGGATAAGAGGGGCTGGCCGAGTATCTTACCTTGCTCTCCGCCGGGAGCTGGGCGGGCTGGGTGGCCTGGGGAGGGGAAAAGGGTCGGGGGAGGGGGCGGGGAAAGGGGGGGAGCCCCTGTGAGGTGTAGCTTCGGAGCAGCTCCCGCCGCAGCCACAGCCACCGCCTCCTTTCCGATTCACTCAAACAAACAAGATGGCTGCCGTTACGCCGCGGCTCTTCCTGCCGCCCAAATCCTCGGTTCAAATCGGCAGGATGTTTACGGTCAAAATGGTACCTATGCGCCTGCGCAACCAGCCTAAGCCCTAGAAGGAGCGACGCAGGCGCATTGACCATTTCCTTTTAGTTGGACCCCGCCCTCTGGTTGTGCAGCCCCGAACTGAGCAAGCGCGAAGGTGATTCTCTTGCCAGAGGGTCTTCAAGCGCTGCGGGCCGGGCCGACAGTGCACGCGCCGCGCTTGCCAGTGGCGTGAATATCTGGGTTTACCTTTAGTCTTACGCTTGTTTTAGAGGGAATATCTGTTGTTGTGCAGTTTTATTTGCCATGACAAAAAAATTCATTTAAAACCCTTAAACAAGCTCCATAAAATCTAGGGGTTCATTGAGTCAACCTATATTTATACATGGTCTTCTCCGAACCACGTATTGTGATAGCTAGGGCCTGGGGCATAATGATGAATACGAAAGAGATAGTACCTGCCTTCATGAAGCTTTCGGTATAGCTAGGGAGGAATTTTTAGAAATACTTGTGCCACAAAAAACGCCAAATGTACAAGGAGACCCAAAAGTGGGCAAGTTTGGAGTGGAAGAGAAGGACTTCCTTGAGGAATTGATGTGGAGCTGGAATGTGGGCTTGAATTCCCAAGAAGAGAGAACAGGATGTGCAAAAGTCCCATGGCGGTAGAGAACAAGATAGGGATAGAGGGGGAAAAAAGTCATGTGTTTGGACACTAATGGAGGCTTCTTCATTTTCGAAAGACCATCCAGGCATATCGAAGAGGACTAGAGTAAATGCCCCGGTGTAATTTGTGTTCTTTTGTGTTTTGTTTTTTTTTTTTTTTTAAAGGAAATAAAACCAATAGGGATTGGTAACCAATTCCTTATAAGGTTGTGGTAGAGGGAGTTGCAAAGATGCGATAGCTAGCCATCTTTGCAATTCTGGCTTGGGACTTACTTGCAAGGATTAGATGGACTGGACTGGAAAGCCATACAATGAGACAGAGCAGATGGAGGAGGGTTATATGAAGTTAGTTTTGTTTTCTTTTGTTCGTTGTGTATCCCACCATCAAGTCTTCATTCTCTCAGTGGCTTCCTTAACTGGTCTCTCTACTCCCACTCTTGTCTTCCTTCAATTAATCACCTTCCTGCAATGCAGTCTAAAGAACCTTTGCAAAACACATGTCTAATCACTCCCCTCCCTTTCTAAAAACTTTTCCATAGCTTTCTGAAGGCTATTACCCAGAATACTTGATGTAGCCCCTGCCTCCTGCTCTAGCTTCCTCTGCTGCCTGCTCCCCAGCTTTCTCACAGTGCTCCAGTCACTCCACTTTTTAAATCATCAGGTACACTATGAGCACTTCTGCTTCAAGATTTTTGCACTGACTGTTCCCTGTGCTTAAAACAGTCTTGCATTTCCATACCCTCCCCTTGGTCTAATTCTTAATCTTTAACATCTTAGTTCCACAGTCACTTCCTCAAGAGAGTCTTCCCTGATTCTCTGTATTATTTAGGGTAATGCTCTTACTATAAAATAGATCCCCTCCCTGCCCCAAATTTCAGGGCTTTACAAGATGGCCGTACCAATTACTGCCTGTATGGGGATAATAATTTTCATGATTTTTGAAAGAATTAAATGAGATCATATATACAAAGCACACAACATAATGCTTGGAACTGAGTAATTACTCAGTAAATTGTGGCTATTCTTCTTGTTCCTTCTACTTTCTGAGCAATGAAATAGCAAGCAAGGTAGGGCAAATATTTATCAGATATCCAACTTTTAAGAACATTAAAAATACCTGGATATTCTAAATGTCCCTCTTAACTATACTTACTCTATGACCAATTTGAAAATTTATCTCCCTCTCCCCCCTCCCCTCCTTTTCTTTCTCACTCCCTCTTTCTCTCTCCCCCCCTTCCTCCTCCCCCTCCCTCTCCCTCCAGTACTGAATTCCCAAGGTACTATCACTTCTTTTCTCTGGAACTATTTTTATTCTTATCCATTAGATCTCTACCCAAGCCCACCTTCCCTTTCATGGATTTTATATAGTTTCTTCACATACAGCCCTAGTCCCCTAAATCTGCTGAATTTGATTTCTTTTGAACAAGGTGTATGTTCTGTTCTGGCTCAAAGTCCCATCCTATCAACATATTCATTCATCTCCTTGTACTAAAATGTCAAGTTAACTTTTCTTGTTACAGAAGTTAGCTGCAGTCAACATCTCCTTTACCTGGAAATACTTATTTGATGAATCTGCATATGTTAATTTTAATAATTGTGAATTTGTTTGGCTGAAACCATGACAGGACTGATTTATATTATAACTTTAATCTTCCTTTAGTTGAAAATGGTTGGCTTTTCTGATTACTTAGTTGATGACTTGGTCTGATTTGGGACAATCACTATCTGAAGAACTGGCTGCTGCCACCATCCTGAGTATGTTTATGAAAGCAGCTGTGTTCTTTCTGTCTTATTTCACAATGACATGCACACGCCCATGCATACACACACAACTGAGACTTAATGTGGAATAAAAAACTTGTTACAGAAAAAGACGACCAACTGATAGTAGCAGAGTTATTTAAGACTTACACACAATTTTGTAGACTTGTTCCTCTGAATTGCCAAATTTTAAAAAACAGAATTAATTATATATTATTTATATATATACATATACGTATATATATATATTAAGTAGGACGCATATATACATATATATGTGTATATATATATATTAAGTAGGATGCATTGCATTAGGAGAGAAATAAGGTAGATGGACAGATTTTCAGGAGTATTTCAATGTTAGGTAATGGGTGAGTATTGAACATTCTGCATCAGAATTTTAAAAAATCTTCTTTAAATAAAGAAAAATCAAAGTATAAAATATTTGTTGAATGAGACCTCTAAACCTGATTAAAGAAAATCCAGAAAGAGTGAATACCCTCTTTAAGATTTGGAGGTAGGGCAGAGAAATGAACAGAAAGTAACTGAAAAAACAATTGTAGATTCTGGCTTTTCTTGTCAACCATATCCTTTTTATCTCTAAAAGAGACTGTAATATTTAAATCAAAAAGAAAATACATTTTAAGGACAACAGTCCTAGTCAAAAATGTTATAATCGGACAAGTTATATAAGAAGCAGATGAAGGACAAAACATTGAAATATCAATTCTTAATATGCTTAGATATTAAGTAAATGACTGGTTATGGGGTGTGAGAGAGGGTATTGTAAGTCACAGAAATGGTAGATCCTATTCAGAGCCACATCTCAGCTTTGGGCATGTGGGTTTGAGCCAGTATTGTGCTCTGGAGAGGGGCTGCAAATATCTCTGTCCAGGTGTACTAAAGGTCTGCTCAGGCAGGTAGGCGAAGAAGAATCACAAGGGGCCAGAGCAGGCCCAGGGATCTGCAGGTCTGTGGGCCAGGTGGGACTGTGAGTTTGTCAAGGATTAAGGTTGAAGCCAGGGAATGCTGCAGACGCAGAAGCTGGGTCAGGGTCTATGCTAATTACTTAGACTTTTCTCAGAAAATTTCATCATGCTAACTGCATTTCAGTGCTGAGAGCAGTTTTAACTCTTAAGCCGGGAATCTTTGTCAGTGACTATTTTGATGCATTTCTTCTGTTTTCAAACCCATCATCTCTTCTGTGCATCCTGCTGCACCTTTGAGACTAGGTGTTTATTCAAAAGCAGATGGATAGTGTTTCCTCTGAACTCCTCTAGCCATTGCAGGATGCAGGCATTTTTGTTGTTGTAACACCATATACTTTGTTCCTTTCATTCTGCGTAACTGCTTACTAGTAGGGCAATTTGGAAGAAAATATGGTTGCGTAGATCTCTTAAATCCTATAGAACTGACAAAAATGGTAACATCGTAATGAAAAATCCTTGCAAACTTAAAAAAGACATGTTAAATTACCATTAATAAAGAAGTCATACAGTAAATATAGTACTTTTCCTAAAAAGAAGATGAAGATGGCTTGTTGGAAGAGGTATAAGGGGAGGTAGAAGCTGCTGAGTTATGAGACAGGGGCAAAATGCACAGAGATAAAGGAAACTAGCAGTAAGCACTTCAGAGATACAGCTTGTGGCTAAACTGAGCCAAGAGCTGACTCGAAGTGAATGGGCATCATGTATAGTCCTGTGTCCTCCATGGCCTCAAATGTGTTAATGTGCTTTGCTTTAACATGATGGGGGCAAAAAGTTAATGTGCCAGGGAAAGGAATCATACCTGGACTAATGTAATTTCCATGTAATTTGGAAATTATTTCCCTATCTGCTAATCCTATGGGAGGAATTAACATTATTATATAAACTCACACTGAAAAATAACAGACGGAAATTCTTTTCCTAAGACTAAAGGCAAACTTTATTATCAGTGAGGTCTGATATATTCATGGTAGAATGGCAGAGAGTGATGCTTGTCTAACTTTAATAGGCTTATAGCTTGGGAACTTGTGAAATTGCTGATTTGCATTTGGCAGTTTGGGGTGGGGTCCAAAATTCTTTGTTTTGTTTGCTTGGGTTTTTTTTTGGCAAGCTTCCAGGTAATTCTGAGGCTGCTGGTACATGGACCACATCAAGGAACAAGGATTTTTTACAGAACAGACTTTGGAGCTAGGTAGACTTGGGTTTATATCATGGCTCTTCCATTTAGTAGCTGTGTGACCTTCAACAAGTTGCTCAACTTCTCTGAGACTCAGTTTTCTCATCTGTAAAATCAGGCTAATTATATCTATACCCTCATGGCTGTGATGTTTATTACCCAAGATGATCTAAAGCATCTATCGTAGTGCTTGGCACATTATTTAAACCCAGCAAATAATAGTTACTATTCTAGTATTATTGTAGTTGGATCTGATAATTTTCTCCTTCACTATTGATTTAGAATAAAGATCTCTATTGAGTTCCATGACAAAAACTGAGAGTTGCTTCCCAACATTTTCCCCTTTTCCTTTAGTATGGCATATGGCCCCAGGTAAAACATTACATTTCCCAG